TTGAGCCTCCAAAAACCTTGCTTCCTTGATCACCTATTTCCCGATCATTAGATTTACAATCTAACATCAGTAATTGAAAAACAATTTGATCCGAATTCGTGGTTTTGTAAATGTTATTTTCTTAAAGTGCATGTGTCATTTCTATATTCCTTAAGGAGATCTACAATTTCATCTACGATTACCATCACCTATATCATCAATGTGCACCAAGCCCGTGCACTTTTTATCTTAAATCACATTTTGGACCTGTTTTAAAAATCAACCTGAAACTGATATCTGGGGTCATTTTTGAGAAAACATTATTTCACAAAAGTTATTCAGACTGAACTTTCCTTTAACATGGTTTGTCACTAAATGAAACTAAGCTTTTATCTTGGTTTTCTAGCCTAAAACAGCGCCGGATTCAATTTTTGGGTCAATAACCTAGTTTTCAGTTTTGGTCCGAAACTTATAATTTTAATCATTTTAGGTTTCTATACATCTCCGATCACCAAACAACTTACTTTACACATCTTAATCCTCCTATTCTTTATGAAACTGGTTTTAGGTCAAATTCCCAAGCTAAATTTCGGCAAAGTTCCACCTAATTTTCCTTGTTTCCCGCGCTAACCATAGCTCGTTTTATCTGTTGTTTCCACCTTTAAACACAAACCGCATTCTTTCTCATTCAATTTTATCATCAATAACATCATAATTCTAAGGTTTCATCCGAATTTTGACAACAATTCTCCATAACCAAAAATTGCTAGAAACAAAATCTAATAACCAAGAATTCATCCTTTAATCACTAGATTTTCAATACATTTAACAATCATAAGCTTAATCATCATCAAATTTTTTCCATGCTTTCTACCATACTTAAACGTGCAGCCAAGGTAGAAAAACTAAGAAGAAAACTGAAATTTACCTTATAAAATGAGGAGAAGTCCTTAGTGATGCGAACTATAGTGGTGTAGTTTCGTCAATTTCGATTTAAACCCGTTTTTCTCACTTTGGGTGAATTTTTTTTCTTCTCCTCTCTTTGGCTGATGCTCTCTGGTTCTTGGCATGAAAAATGAGCATTTGGTTGTATTTTTATCTCTTAAAAACAAACACCAAAAAGTAGGGGGACTAAAATATAATTTTGGCATTTTCTAAGGACCTTTTTGTAAAATTTCACAAAAAATATCTTTTTCATTTCTTCTTCCTTAAGTTGGCCGGCCACCTCCTCCTTTCCACATGTCTCCATCTCAGCCCTTCATCCAATTAATCACTTTTAATCTCAACCATCCATTTCTAGTAACTATCTCATTTTGATTTAGTTTAATTCCTATCTGGTACGCGTTTTACCTGCGTTTCTCAGACTGTTCCTCAAATTTTAACTTGGTCAACCCTATTCAGTCGAAAACCTCAATTTTCTCTGTTCGGCCCTCCGAACCCATTTTTGGTATGTTCTTCGTTCTGATTGTTTCTAAAACCCTAGAATTGATGTTTTTCAATTCTTTTTCATTTCTTAAACTTAACATTCATGTGTTTCCCCACTTGTGGGTTTAACATAGTGTTCTATGCCTTTTTCTTAAATACAGCCCAAAAATCGGTAACTGCATCATACCTCTGAAATTTCTGAGCTTTAGCTTTTAATTTGCTATTCCATAATAATATGAACAAATACTTATCATAAAAGTGTTCATATTAACAATACAAAGGATTCCAGGAAATTTATCTTATACAATAATTCTTTCGACAGATTTCCCGGTCATGACAATCACCCCTCCTTAAAAATTTTTGTCCTCGAAAATCAAAACAAAATGGGGTACTTCTCTCTCATCTCATCTTCACATTCTCATGTTGCTTCTTCCACTTTTTTAACAAGTGGAATACTTCGATTCTAAAGGCTTTTCTCTTCTCGTGCAAGAATCTGCACCAGTTGCTCCTCATAAGACATGTCTTCATGAATCTGAATTGGTTAATGTTCTATAACATGGGATGGATCTGATACATACTTCTTTAACATCGAAACAAGAAATTCATCATGTACCTCAGCTAATTCAGGTAGTAAAGAGAGTGAGTAAGCTACTTTACCTATTCGTTCAATAATCTGGAAAGGTCCTATATACCTCGGGCTCAATTTACCTTTCTTGCCAAAACACATGACACCTTTCATGGGTGCAATCTTCAAAAAGACTGAATCCCCTTCATTAAACTCTAAGGGTCTTCTGCGCTTATCAGCATAGCTTTCCTTAAGGTCTTGTACCATCTTCATTCTTTGATGGATTTTCTGAGTGGATTCAATCGCCTCCTGAATGAATTCTATCTTACGTAATTGTTTCTCCCCATTTTCATACCAATGAATGGGAGATCTGCATGTTCTTCCGTACAAGGCTTCATATGGTGTCATACCAATTGAAGCTTGATAACTGTTGTTATATGATAATTCAATCAGTGGTAGTCTTTTATTCCATATTACTTTAAAATCCATCACACATGCCCTATGCATATCTTCCAAAGTTTGGATGGTACATTCAGATTGTCCATTAGTCTGAGGATGAAGAGCTATGCTAAATCTTCATTCTAAGCCCATGGCTTTTTGTACACTCTTCCAGAATGTTGAGGTAAAACGGCTATCCCGATCCTAATCCGAGATAATGGATAAGGGTATCCCATGCAACCTAACAATATTAGTGACATATAACTCTGCTAACTTTTCTAAGGTATATGTCACTTTTATGGGCACAAAATGGACAGATTTAGTCAATCTATCGATAATTACCCATATCGCATCATAACCTACCACAAAATCCATGGTTATATGCTCTCATTTCCATTCTGGAATCTCAATAGGTTACAGCTCCCCAGCTGGACGTTTATGCTTAGCTTTAATCTTTTGACACGTTAAGCAACGGCTAACGTAATCCACTATGTCATTCTTCATGCATTTCCACCAAAAATGTTGCTTTAGATCTTGATACATCTTAGTTGCTCCTGGATGTATCGAATAAGGGGTATTATGAGCTTCAGAAAGAATTTGTTTCTTAAGATTTTCATCTTCTGGAACACAAATTCTTCCTCGAAATGTGAGAATTCCCTTATCCGAGACTTTGAATTCCATCTTTTTTCCTTCCTCAGCTTCTTTCCAATATTTGTCAAGAGTAGGATCCTTATGTTGAGCTTCTACCATCTTGTCAAAAATAGATGGTTGTATTTGCAAAGTGGCTAATTTACCCTTAATTAGCTCTAATCCCAACGAGCAGATATCCTTCCGTAAAGGTGTTGGAAATTTGTCAAATGACATATGACTTAATTCTGTCATTTTGTGACTCAAAGCGTCAGCTACCCTATTGGCCTTTTCAGGGTGGTAAAGGATTTCACAGTCATTATCCTTTACTAATTCCAACCATCTTTGTTGCCTCATATTGAGTTCTTTCTGAGTGAAAAAATACTTGAGGCTTTTGGTGAAAATCTGGTATTGCACGCCATATAAATAATGCCTCTATATCTTTAAAGCAAAAACCACTGCTGCCAATTCAAGATCATGAGTAGGATAGTTCCTCTCATGATTTTTCAGTTGTCAAGATGCATATACAATTACCTTCCAATTTTTCTCCATCAATTGGGATGGTAAGGCTTGGTGCAGTAGTTAGCTTTCGTTTCAATTCTTGAAAACTTTTCTCACACTTTTCAGTCCATTCGTACTTCTTTTCTTTTCGCGTGAGGGCAGTAGGTGGTGCAACTAGTCTTACGAATCTCTCTACAAATCTCCTAAAATATCCAGCTAAACCTAAGAAACTATGGATTTTCGTCACGTTTCTTAGTGCAGACCAGTTACTAACTATTTCAATCTTCACTGGATCCACCAATACACCGTCTTTTTAGACTACATGCCCCAAGAAATGAACCTTATTGAGCCAAAATTCACACTTGGAGATTTTGGCATACAACTGATGTATCTTTAGTGTTTGAAGAGTAATTCTTAATGCTCTTCACGTTGCTTATGATTCCTCGAATAGATTAGTATGTCATCGATAAAAATGATGACAAACTTATCCAAGTATTCCTTAAAAACACGGTTCATTAAATCCATGAAAGTTGTTGGGGCATTAGTTAGTCCGAACGACATTACAAGAAACTCGTAATGTCCGTAGGGTTTTCTAAAAGCTGTCTTTGATATATCTTGCTCTCTAATCTTCAATTGGTGGTATCTAGATCGTAAATCAATCTTTGAGAATATCACTGCCCCCTTGAGTTGGTCAAATAAGTCATCAATCCTGGGCAGAGGATATTTATTCATTATCATGACCTTATTGAGCTCATGATAGTCAATGCACATTCTTAATGAGCCATCTTTCTTCTTTATGAATAAAACATGGGCTCCCTAAGGCGAATAACTTGGTCAGATTGCAGCTGCATTTTCAATTCCCTAAATTCTGTCGGAGCCATTCTATAAGGAGCCTTAGAAATTGGTGTCGTTCCAGGTAAAAGTTTGATTTTAAACAAAATCTCACGTTCCGGTGGCAATCCTAGAAATTCTTTTGGAAAGACTTCCATAAAGTTTTGGACTATCGGCACATCCTTTGGTTACAACTTATCAGTTTTTGTTGTATCCACAATATGAACTAGATATCCTTCGCAACCATTAGTAAGCAATCTCCTTCCTTTTACTGCATTAATCATTCGTTCGGGGGTACGTTTAGAATGATCGACATACTCGAATATTTCTTCTCCATCGGGTCAGAAAACCACTTTCCTATTGTGACAGTCGATGGTGGCTTGATATTTTTGCAAGAAATCCATTCCTAAGATGACGTCGTAGTCGATTATCTTTAATACGACTATATCTATATATAATTCCCTATCAGCTACGACTATTGGTGCATGTTCTAGTCTAAATTCAGACAATAGAATTTCTCCAGAAGACAGGGTAGTCCTAAATGTCTGACCAATTCTATTTTTAGCATAACTTAATTTCTCAGCAAATTCATATGATGCAAATGAATGTGATGCACTAAAATCAAATAACACGCATGCTCTTGGAAGCGGCTGACACGGTAAAGATTAATGGTGTCACTGAGGGCACCATCAGGTTGAAATTGTTCCCATTCTCTCTTCGGGACAAGGCTCGACAGTGGATGATGTCACTGCCGACGGGGAGTATTGGCACTTGGGAAGAGATGACTGAGAGGTTTCTTGCAAAGTTCTTCCCACCATCTAAGGCATCCCAGTTGCGGAGTGAGATTGGATCTTTCTGCCAAAATGACTTTGAGCCGTTGTATGAAGCTTGGGAACGGTTCAAGGACTTGCTCAGAAAATGTCCTCAGCATGGGTATGATGAGTGGATGCTGATTGACAGGTTCTATAATGGGTTGAATGGCCAATCGAGGACTATTGTTGATAGCACTGCAGGTGGATCATTGATGGCAAAGTCTATTCCAGAGGCCTACAATTTGCTTGAAGAAATGTCTACCAACAGCTATCAATGGCCTTCAGAGCGTTCAATTCCGAAGAAAACTGCTGGTATTCACGAGGAGGATCCGTTAACTTCATTGTCAGCACAGGTTTCAGCTTTGTCAAATCAGATTGCAGCATTGACTAACAGAGAAGCGTCATCTAGCAGAGAGGCAGTGGCAGGTGCCAGTACACTTTTTGTACAGGATGAGTACACTCGGGAGCAGGTTCAGTTTGTGAACAATAGGAACTTTAACTATAGGCCAATCAATTGCCCAACCACTATCATCCTGGCTTGAGGAACCATGAGAATTTCTCTTATGCCAACAGTAGGAATGTTTTGCAACCTCCTCCGGGTTTCAACCAACAAGTGGTGGAAAAGAAACCTTCTGTGGAAGATTTGTTGAGTACCTTCATTGTTGAGACTAGAGGGAGGTTTAACAAGGATGAGGCTAGACTTGACAACATTGAGACACATTGTAACAACATGAATGCAACCATGAAGTCTCTTGAGGTGAAAATCGGTCAACTAGCCAATGCGGTTAAGGGGCAATCATCTGGCAAGTTCCCAAGTGATACGGAGCCTAATTCCAAAGACCATTGCAAGGCTATCACCTTGAGAAGTGGGAAAGAAGTTGAGGCTCCTAAGCCCCAAGAGGATAAAACCAAGGAAGAAGAGGTAGGAACCGAGCAACCGAAGGAAAGTGCAAGGCCTAAGTCAATCTCTTTTCTGGATAATCCTCCTCTCATTGCTCCTACCCTCCCGTATCCGCAAAGATTCAAGAAGAAGAAGTTGGATGCTCAATTTTCGAAGTTTTTAGAGATTTTTAAGAAGATCCATATCAACATCCCCTTTGTGGATGCACTTGAACAAATGCCTAATTATGTCAAGTTTATGAATGATGTCATGGCAAAGAAGCGGAGGTTGGAGGATTTTGAGACCGTCAAGCTAACAGAAGAGTGTAGCGCTATCCTTCAAAGGAAGTTGCCTCAAAAGTTGAAAGATCCTGGGAGTTTCACTATTCCGTGTACTATTGGAGATTCTCACTTTGAGAAGGCCTTGTGTGATCTTGGAGCTAGCATCAATCTTATGCCTCTGTCCGTCTTTCGAAAGCTTGGACTTGGGGAAGTCACATAGAAACACTAAATAGACCCTAAAAAACACTTAAAACCAGAAAACCCCTAAAAACCCTTAAAGAATCCTAAAAAACCCTAGAAACACTAAAAGAACCCCCCAAAAAATCCTAAAAACTCATAAAACCCTAAAAACCCGTAAAAACTGTAAAAAAAAAAAAAAAAAAAAAAAAAAAAAAAAAAAACACAAAAACCCCAAAAAACCCCAAAAAAAAAAAAAAAAAAAAAAAAAAAAAAAAAAAAAAAAAAAAAACCCTAAAAACCCTAAATAGCCGTAAAAAACCCTAAACAACCCTAAGAAATCCTAAAAACCCCCTAAAAAACCTAAAAACATTTAAAAAAGCCTAAAAATCTCTTAAAACCCCCCAAAAACCCAAAAAAACCCTAAAACCCCCTGAAAAACCCTAAAAACGCTAAAACTCTAAAAAAACCATAAACCCCCAAAATAAACCCTAAAAATGCTACAAAAAGCTAAAAAGACCTCAAAAAACCCTAAAACCCTAAAAAAGGCGTAAAAACCCAAAAAAACCCTAAACAACCCTAAGAAATCCTAAAAATCCTAAAACATCTCCAAAAAAACCCTAAAAACATTTAAAAAAAAGCCAAAAACGCCGACACAAACGCTAAAAACCCTAAAATATCCTAAAAAAAATCCTAAAAACCCGAAAAAACCATAAAACCCTAAAAACTGTAAATAAACCCTTAAAACCCAAAAAAAACCCAAAATAAATCCTAAATAAACCAAAAACTATAAAAACCCTAAAAAACCTTTAAAATCCCTAAAAACCATAAATAAACCCTAAAACCCTAAAAACCCTAAATATACCCTAAAAATCCCTAAAAACCTTAAAAATCCTTAAAGAACCCTAAAAACCCTACAAAAAGCTAAAAACCTCAAAAAACCCTGAAAAACCAGAAAAAACCCTAAAAACCCTAAGAAACTCTAAAAAACCATAAAACCCTAAAAACCCCTAAAAAGTCCTACAACCATAAAAAAAACCCTAAAAACTCTAATAAACCCTAAAAAAAACCCTTAAAAATCCTTAATATCCCTAAAAAAATCCTAAATAAACCCTAAAAAAACTTAAAAACCCTAAAATCCTGAATAAACCCTAAAAATCCATAAAACCCCTAAAAATGCAAAAAACCCTAAATAAACCCTAGAAACACTTAAAACCCAAAAAACCCCTAAAAACCCTAAAAACTCATAAAAACCCTAAAAACCCGTAAAAACTTTAAAAAACACTAAAAAACTCTAAAAACCCTAAATAGCCGTAAAAAACCCTACAAACCCTAAAAAATCCTAAACAACCCTAAGAAATCCTAAAAACCCTAAAACCATTTTAAAAAGCCTAAAACGCCGACAAAAACGCTAAAATACCCTAAAACCCTAAAAACCCCCCGAAAACCCTAAATAAACATTAAAAAACCATTAAAATCTGGAAAAAAAAAAAACCAAGAAAAAACCCAAAATAAACACTAAAAAACCCTAAAAACCGTTAGAAACCCTAAAAACTTAAAAAAAAAAAACCCCAAAAACCCTAAAAAAAAGGCCAAAAACCCCATAAAAAAGCCCTAAAAACCATAAAAATAAATTAAAAACCCCTAAAAATCCTAAGAAAAAAACCCTAAATAAACAGGAAAAAAACCATTAAAATCCTAAAAAAAACCCAAAATAAACCCTAAAAAACCCTAAAAACCCTTAAAAATCCTTAAAATCCCTAAATAAATCCTAAATAAACCCGAAAAAAAAAACCTAAAAACCCTAAAAAGCCCTAAAACCCCTAAAAAACCCTTAAACCCCCAGAAAACCGTAAATAAATCCTAAAAACACTTAAAACCCTTAAAAATGCTAAAAACCCTAAATAAACCCCAAATAAACACTTAAAACCCAAAAAATCTCTAAAAACCTTTAAAGAATCCTAAAAAACCCTAGAAACCCTAAAAGAACCCCCAAAAAACCCTAAAAACTCATAAAAACCCTAAAAAACCGTAAAAACTAAAAAACCCTAAATAGCCGTAAAAGCCCCTAAACAACCCTAAGAAATCCTAAAAACCCAAAAAAACCCCCCAAAATACCGAGGCTGTCCCGGGGCTATACCGGGGCTGTACTGGTGCTGCCCGGGGACTGTCCCGATGCTGTTTCCGGGGCTACCCGAGGGTGTCCTGTTGCTGTCCCGGGGCTGCCCCGGGGCTGTCCTCAGGCTGTACCCGGGCTGTACCGGTAATGTACTGAGGCTGTCCCGGGGCTCCCCCGGGGCTATCCCGGGGCTGTCCCGGGGCTGACCCAGGGCAGCCCCGGGATGTCCCGTGGCTGTCCCGGGGATGTCCCGGTGCTGTATCGGGGTTGTCCCGGGTCTATCCCGAGGCTGACCCGGTGCTGCCCCGGGGATGTCCCGTGGCTTTCCCGGGGCTGCTCCCGGGCTGTCCCGGGGCTGTACTGGGGTTGTCCTGAGGCTGTCCCCGGGCTGTACCGGGGATGTACCGGGGCTGTCCCGGGGCTGTACTGGGACTGACCCGGGGCTGCCGGGGACTGTCCCGGGGCTGTTTCTGGGGCTGTCCCGGGGCTATACCGGGGTTGTATCGGTGCTGCCCCGGGGCTGTCCCGGGGCAGTACTGGGGCTGACCCGAGGGGGTCCTGTGGCTGTCCCGGGGCTGTCACGGGGCTGCACCGGGGCTGTCCGGAGGCAGTCCCTGGGCTGTACCGGGGCTGTCTTAGGGCTGTGCCGGGGCTGTCCAGGGGCTGACCCGGGGCTGTCCCGGGGTGTACCGGGGCTGTACCGGGGCTG